TGAGCACGAACGTTTCGCATTATTTGCATAGCCTGGCTGCAATTAATTAAAACGTGCTTGTTGGACCATTTTTGGAACGGGTTTTCTAGCTGAAATTCTGTCAGTATTCTACACAAATGTTTGCTCCGAATTTCAATTTGAGTATAAGACAGCCGATTTATTGGTCATGCGTAGAAAGACGCTAAGGCACAAAATTAATTGATATATAATCGAAATATATGCAACAAGTTTTATAATCTTAAAATAAGACAAGATTATCGAGTTATATATATTTTTATTGTTGCACTTTTTTGAATACTAATTACTCAAACAAGCATAGTTATTTGAAAATGCTTGCCCAAGATCGAAGATACGGACGGGTTTGTTCTAGCTAAAGTAGCTTCTAATTGATTTACGAATGAAGAGAGTATACTCAAAATCTAACATTTATATCATATTTCCCTAAAATTCGTATATCATTTAATAGCGTGTATTCCCCGGCCTTATCCGGGGATTTTATGCTTAAAGTCTAGGGTTTAACTTCTTTACCCAGTTCCCAGTGTGGAAAAAAGAAAAAAGAAGAAAAATGGCCTAGAATTTCGAATCAACGTCTTCCGTCCGTGTTAAACTTCTAAGACAAATAAATTATCGAAAAGACCTTTGAATATGAGTTTAAGTCCGTTCCGTTCCGATGGTAAACAAAACAATTGTATATTTTCCGCTCAATTTCCACATTTGCGGGTGAAATTGCCGAAGTCGCTGAAACACGTATCTATTAAGACTTTTTGTCTTATTATTTTCCGCCAAGCTTCCAACTCCGTTTCCACCAACGAGGGATTTTCCAAAAAGTGCGAAGCACCTCTCAAATGAATTTGAACAAATAGAGTTAATCTCCATCGCATAAAATGACTCCAGTGAGATCTTAAGATCTTTTAAAAGAGTGTATCGTAATGCAATGAACCTATCAATCATCGCTGCGATTAGCAAATCTAGCCGAAAGTCTTGATGGGCTTGGCATTTTGCTTGAATTATCCAGAACTTGAACCGGAATTGGTTGCTTATGTATTTTGTATTTTGCATGATTGAGGCGGAATCGGAAGCGTTATTAAAATATGTATGACATACATCTGTACGAGTACGTACTTGGGATAACTATTCGAAAATGCCAACCACGTACCATCTGGCGTCTATTTGTCATCGTTGCCGCCGTCGTAATTATTGAAAAGTCCATTACACCCGTTTCAATATTTGCCTAGCAAGTTATTCATTGAAAACAATGGAACGGCCTTAGTTTTTTTTTTTTTTTTTTGGGCGTTTCTCATATCTTTAAAGCACATTCATGTTTTCGAGAGTTCACGAAAGTCTGCCACCTGGTCTGTCGCCTATCCATCGACTTTACTTTTTACTAATCCGTCTTCCAATTGTTTACTTTAGCCGAATTTTAATCTTGTTAAACAATTAAATGCTTATTTAATTTTTTAAAATTTGTAAAGGAATAATTTAACCGCAGATCTACATACTATATCATTCAAGGCAATACGTTGTAGCATAGTGTTGCCATATCAGATCGCCGGAGATACGCATGTCGTATTTGAGGCTTATCTTTCTTATGATAATGATAATAGTGATAGTTGTAATCAAGATAAAGTCAATTCCAGCTGTCGACAGCCAATTTGCGAGTTCATTTTCAACTTTCAAATATATCCGATCTGAGTCATAGCCAGACATTGTAAGTGTGGTCATACGTGTATTAAAAGTCAGTTCAGTATCAGGAATCAGATACTAATGTCGCGGTGTTTCGCTAATGAAATCACGATTTGCTAGCAGCTAGTGGACTGTAATTGGACCAGAGTTGAATGCATTAAGCTTTTATTAAGCTATCGGTTCCGTTTAACTAGCGTCAGATATAAAACGCCGATGCCAGAGACAATGATATACTCTCTCCCACAGCTGCAATTTAATTGCACAACTGTTTCCATATGTTTTGTGGCCAATTTGCGAGTGAATAAAGAGTCTTTTGTTTCTGAATGTTACAATACACAGCGCGACTGAGACAGAGACAAACTCAGCGGAAGAGCGAGAGACAGAGAGAGGGAGAGAGAGAGAGAGTTATATCACCGCTTGAGACTTCGACAAGTTCTACGTACTTAGGTTTTACACAACACTAAAACACCTTCCAAGTAAAAAACAAGTAAGAGGTTCTAGTCGGGAGCCCCCGACTAGAGAATACCCTGAACCCTCTTCTTCCAACATCAAATGCATATATATATTCTAATTTAGGAGCTATATGTCAAGTTTGGTGACTCTAGCTCTTATTATTTACCAAAATTGCCCAAAAAACAGGATTTCGATATCGATTTTTATCGATTGCTTGGAAACGGAGTAAGTTATCGATTATCGGAAACAAACTCGATCTGCGCAGGAACTAGGAGCATCTACATCTAATTTCAAGTCTCTAGCTCTTATAGGTTCTGAGATCCTTTGATCCTCATACATACGGACGGACGGACGGACAGACAGACGGACATGGCTAGGTCCACTCGGCCATTGATGCTGATCAAGAATATATATACTTTATGGGGTCGGAGATGCTTCCTTCTGCCTGTAACATACATTTGGATTTTGCACAAATACAATATACCCTCATACCCATTTTTAATGGGTTCAGGGTATAAAAAAAAAACAAACAAAATTGTTTGCTAAATCTATAAAATGAGATCTAATACATCTGTTTAACATAACATATTTATATCTATATATCTATATATATATATATGTACCCTAGGCAATTGAATATTAACTAAATGCGATAAATCACAAAGAGTGCGACATGCGACAACAATTCGCAGCGAGTTTCCCGGTCAATGATCACATCCCAAAGTATATCATATATATATATATATAAATATATAGTATTGCATGCAAATACGCATGTATTCTCAGCGCTTTTCTCAGCTGAGGCGCAGCTTCGTTTTTCAAAGCCAATTTCTATATGTGTATGACGTTGCGGGCATTATTTCGGGCTCACAGACTCATCCGTATTCATCAAATCAGTTCAATTAAGACTTGTTATAGCCGTGCCCGTGGACTTATATTCGTATATAGTATATAGCTACGGATGCACGTACGTCTAAAATCGTTACGGCGTAATTTTAGTTGGTTTGGTTCGCATAGTCGCACATTTTACAAATGGAATGCAAAAGTATGAATAAATTAAACACCTCTGTAGGTTATAATTTTAGAGTGCGAAATGCCAGCTTTTTACGGATTGCATATTGACGTAGTTTCCCAATCGTGGGATCTTTAATAGTAACCCCATTCGAGATGTATTTATAAATAAATAACCCGCTCTTAACCACATTTCCATATGTAAAATGGATCGAAAGGTATACAGTACATTTCTCGTAGGGGTTTTTTTTTTTTTTTTGTAGTTCTCTCAAATCAGTCTGACGCTTATCGTAAATGGAACACGGTTAATTATTTGGATCAGTGTGTTGCTGATTTAATTTACATACATATACATTATAGTAAGCCTCAATTCCCAAATCGTTGCATTTTTTTTTTTTTTTTGGAGTTGTAGTTCTCATTGTTCTTATCACCCAATGAGTTGTCATGTTCATATCGTATACCCGTACATATGGACGTCTACGGCCTGTGGTTTACACATACAGTAAAGTCTCTGATGAGTGACTAATTCTAGAGTCTTAAATTCTTGATAATAATAACCGCAGAATGTTGTTGAGGCCCAAAAATCGGCCAGTTTTATACAAATTTAAAGCGGGTCTACGCCGAAATACATGCAGGGGTATATTCACATATAAATGTTCAAATATATAATAATTTTTTCAGTTAACAACAATTAAATTTCGCTTTTTTGGCGATAAATATATCCGAATGGAAGACTATATAAATTTTCGATTTTTGCATAAATTGTTTTCAATCAGATGCAAACCAAATTTTAAACTCTATTAAAGCCTGGTCAGAATTGGCTGCGATGAAAATCAGTTTTCCGCCACATTTTCAAACGTTTAACGGGTTTTTCAAAATCGTAATTATTAAATATTTATGAAGTGCTTTAAATTGAAAAAAGCTGCTTGCTGTCGCCCATATAACATTGGACCCTCATATTCCACACAGGGGAGGTGGATTTTCCGAAATGAGTAAAGTACATTTCAGAAATGTTTTATTTATAGCTTTGAAAATAAGTTTAAGGTCAATCGGATTAACGTTTTTCAGCCTTGCGCAGGAACATCTTGGTATCTAACTAATATCGAAAACCTAGATCTTATTTTTGTTCGATTTTTAACAACAATTAAATGTACAACTTTTTTTCATCCCTTACATTGTCGCCAGAAATTTATCAGCATATGTTTATCCCACTTTGAAGGGCTCTGAGTTCTCCTCTCTATTCAGATGCACATGCACGTGCATTTTATCAGTTGATGAAACGCCCATAATATATGCATGCACGAGTATGGAAATGTGACTGTATATTATTATTAAAGGTTGGCATCAGAAATACCCCCACCAGCTATGTATATACTTATAAATAGAATCGTTATTTTTTTGAGACTAAGTGAAATAATGAAGATGCGAGTAGTTGGTATTCTCTTAAGTAAGCAAATAACGGTGGGCGAGCGACAGACAATTAAATCAAAGAAATAAATAAGTTGCCGTTTACAATAAGAACAACAATAAGAGTTAACGGATAAATTAAAATACCGTACACACGCCTCGGCTTCGGCTCAGCTGCAATCCCTACTCAGCTGTTATAAAAATAGAACACCCGCCCAACGCCTACCTCGCTCGTGTTTGTGCTCGTGCTCGTGCGCGTTCCCCAGCTCGTGTCTGTTATTGTCTGCCGACCACCGATCACTTGCCTCTTGTTCGGCAATAATAACGGCGCTCTCCGCGTCGTCGTCCACGTCGTCGACGTCGCCGCTGACGTCGTTCGGCAACTTATGTATTTTATAAAATGAAAACGATCGAAACAGTTAGAAGTATTCTTGCACTGGCAGGGCGCAGGTTGTGTCTGTGTCGTTGGCGGAAAGTGCAGCTGAGCGCGCGACAATTTGATCGGAATATTACGTAGTTGTTCCTAGCTATAAATCCTGCATACAAATTAAATCAATTTATTGGTATATTACTAGTGTGAACAGTTAAACTACAATTGCCGACTCTGCCAGCGTTGCAAATGAGTATTTTTATATGAGTATTTAACCCGTACTTAGTGTGTGTTTGTCTGTACTCGTGACGCGTACTCGTTAGTGAACAAGTGAGCGGCCAAGCGTTTAATTAACCAAAAATAATAAGCAAATTAATTACCTAAAAAATATATTTATAAAAAAAAAACACACACACAAAACACAAAATGACAAAGCTAAACGTTTTATATGCAACGATCCTCTGCTGCCTCGCAGTCTCGTCGCAGGCGCGAGCGAGGACTCTGATTGAAAATATCACAGAAAGCGCCAATTCCATTGTGAAAAACATCGATACCTACGATTTTCCCTCCTGGTAAGTTTTTTAGACCCCGCTTTGCCTCGTCTCCGCCGTGTGGTATACGGAATATATTGAGCATGTTTGAATTTATATTATTATATTAAAAATTTATGTGAAAGTACTCGGTACTTTTACTGTGGACACACGCGAATATATATAACATGCCTTCACATTTATCCGAACCGGTCGGCGAATTTTAATCTGAAATTTATTAATTCTTGCTCTCGAAATTTATATTTTATATATTTAAATTAAAATGTTTCCACTCGAGTACAATTGAACTGCATTTGAGGCGCACAAGCATCTCGATATCGATCTCGATTCTGGGCAGGTTTCATCAGGTCAGGTTTCGCCCGGATTGGGCCAAAGCTATTGTCAAGCTAAAAGTCCAACTTGTAAATTAATAATAAAAAAAAATGTATTTGCACTTAATACTATTAAAGTCGTTAAGGCCGGGGTCGCCGTAATAAGTGTTTAGCCTAATGAGTTTTCAAGTTATCCAAGCAAAAACATTCCCTGGCTGCTCTTAGATCTATTTTGCCTAATGCTATTAATTAGAACAAGGTGTACTTAAGATTATCCAAGCACTTCCTTTCTATTTGCGAAAGAAACTCCGGCATATTCATATTCGAAAACAAATAGTCGAGTGTGCTCGACTATAAAATGCCCTGTACCCCTTGGTCAATATATTATTTTGATTCTTAAAAAATAAAATATAGCATAAGAATAAAAAAGTTTTCAATTTTAGAGAGTGGGGAAGGTACTCAAAAAGTGAAGTATTCCAATCTGTGTATATCTGGCTCTTGCACTTCCTAAGTTTATATATTTATATATAAACTTATTTATTTATATATCACGATAAAATAAAAGCGATATAAATATAAAGATTGAAAACTAGTCTAAATAAAGATTAATTTCAAAGAATTAAATCATTAAAAAAAAAAAATGTTCAAATTGTAAAATAAGAAAGACCTACAAACGCCATTTTTTATTCGAAATTCAAAATGGCATTTGATATGTGCCAAATATTTCAACATTTCGCAACACTGTCTTTTTCAGCCAAATATACTGTTATGGACGCCTACTGCACACCGTACAGATGGCGAAGCTATTTCCGGACTCGAAAACTTTTGTGGACATGAAGTTGAAGGCTTCTCCCGAGACAACCTTGGAGGAGTTCGATGCTTTCATGGCTTCAAAGAATAATACACCTACCAGGGACGAGATTCGGGAATTTGTTGATGTGCAAACGCAAACGCAATTGCAGCCTTTACGATTTAATTGTAATATTATTTTCATAATTTTTAGGCTCATTTTGGAGCGAAGGGCACCGAGTTGGATGTGTGGTCACCAACAGATTGGGTTGAGCGTCCTGGCTTTCTGGATCTTGTCCACGATCCAGATCTTAGGCAATGGGGCATGGACTTAAATAACATATGGAGGGAGCTGGGACGTAAAATGAAAGACGATGTGCAAAAGAATCCGCAGTATTACTCGATTATTCCCGTACCAAATCCCGTCATTGTGCCGGGCGGCCGCTTTATTGAGTTCTACTATTGGGACTCCTACTGGATCATCCGTGGTCTGCTGCATAGCGAGATGAAAAATACCGCACGCGGCATGATCGAAAACTTTTTGAACATGGTGCAGCGCATCGGATTCATACCGAACGGCGGCCGTGTCTACTATTGGGGTCGTTCTCAGCCGCCGCTGCTAACGGGAATGGTTAAGTCATATGTGGACTTCACAAAGGACGATCTGTTCGCCATCAATGCTTTGGATGTGCTGGAGCACGAGTTCGAATATTTCATCAACAACCACACCGTGCAGGCAAAGGGACATAACCTAGTTGCATACAGGGATTCGTCAACCGGTCCACGCCCCGAATCGTACAGCGAGGACGTGGAAACATCGGAGAGCTTCGTCACTGATGCGGAAAAGGAGGATCACTATAGCGAACTAAAGTCTGCTGCCGAGTCGGGCATGGACTTCAGCTCCCGCTGGTACATCAACGAAGATGGAACAAATGTTGGAAACCTTACGAACGCCAAGACGCGCTCCATTGTCCCTGTCGAGCTAAATGCAATTCTTTATTGGAACGCCAAAATGATTGCCGAGTTCCACTCCAAGGCCGGCAACGTCGAAAAGATGACAGAGTACGAGACCAAGGCACAGAAAATCAAGGAGGTAAGTACGAAACTGGTGTCAAATAAGATAAATATCCTCATACTCTGATCTACATTGAACTGTTTAGGCGATACAGGCAGTATTGTGGAACGAGGAAGCCGGTTGCTGGCTGGACTACGATCTGATCAACGACAAGCCGCGCAACTATTTCGTGCCCACCAATTTATCGCCGCTGTGGGTGAAGGCATACAACATTTCCGATTCGGAGAAAATATCTACATCTGTGCTGAAGTATATTGAAGATAACAAACTGGACACATTCCCAGGCGGCGTACCGAACACGCTCTATCAGACCGGTGAGCAGTGGGACTTCCCGAATGTATGGGCGCCGATGCAGTATATTCTTGTCGAGGGTCTTGACAATCTGGGAACTCCAGAAGCCAAGGAGCTCTCGCAACGCTGGGGCCAGCGATGGGTCAAGTCCAATTTTGAGGCATATCGCGAGACCCTTGCCATGTTTGAAAAGGTAACTAATTATATTTATAGACATGAAGTCAGGTTACTTGAGCGTTGCAACTTCTATTTTAGTACGACGCGGAGAAGTTTGGCGGACATGGTGGCGGTGGGGAATACGGCGTGCAGACGGGCTTTGGCTGGACCAACGGCGTGATCATCGAATGGCTGGCGAAATACGGACGCCAGATCTCTCTGAGCGGCAACACGGGCGCTGCAGGTGAAAACGAGAAATAGAACAGCAATGCCAAGCATCTCGACAAAGCAATTTGACCGACATCATTATTGAATTCATTATCCAAGCATCGGCATTGTCTTCCCAAACAGTTGTTACACTTGTTGCTCTGGCCACAGAGCAATCTACATAATTAGTTTTAAGTCGAAGCTCGCAGAGATGCTCAAATAGATGATATATGTATTTATTTATAAGAGTACCAGAACCATCTGAAGCGCGTATCCATTGCCCATCAATAGGTTAAGTTCTTAATCGCTTTCACTGTCGCTCTTTCCGTCTATAACTTCCTCTGTATCGGAAACAATCAACGTCTTCAATTAGCACAAGCTCAGCACGAATTCTGTCAGCTTTATCATAGAGTCCACACTTTCAACAAGAACCAGGACTTGAACTCAAAAGATATGGAATGACGGCCACACACTTCTATATATGTATAACTCGCTTTTCATTTGTCTTCGACTTTGCCTTCGTCTCGTCTTGTCTCGCCTCGCCTCGCCTCGCCTCGCATCTATATCTGTTCTGTCAATTTAACGAGTGTCGCATCTATGCCGCGTTCGTTAAACGCCAAACTTTTTACGTAAGTGTCTTAATAATCATTTTTACATATGATTTACTATATTTGTTCTAATTTTGGCACATTTTTCTAATGTAAGATAAGATCATATCCATCTGCAGATTTTTCTTCTGCTTCAATGTTTTAACATAAAAATATCACCATAATAGATCTAACAAAATTTAGTTTAGAGACTGCCGCTTGGCCAAAGAAAATTTTAAAAAAACGTCAAACAATTGAAATTTCTGGCTATTGTGGTTTATCATCTTTGTAACGAATGAAGTTCTTTTACCTCTTGGCAAACTTGTGTTCTAATCATATATTTCTCTTACTTTTATACAGCTCCCAGCAGTCGGATAATCAGCCTTTTGGGCGTGACAGCTGTAGCGTTAGTGGGCGCCTTGGCCGGCCGATTTATCTGGTGAGGTAAGTTACGATAATTGACTCCTAATGTCAAAACTAGAAGTGCTTGTCAGAGAAGCGAATTAAAGTGACATTTATATTTCTTCTCGTTTCAGAAAATGACTGTGTGCCAACTGTAATTGCCCTAAATGAAAATGTGATTCCCCTTTACCTATGTGTGTGCGTGATTTTGTTTTGTTTTTTTTTTTTGTTTTTCCTCCTAGTTACATAAAAAGCCTTTTCAATTATTGCTTTGTTGAATGCGGAGATTGCAGTATTAGTTATTAACAATTTACAGTTGACTTATTGTTAGATAACTGAGTTATACATACAGAGTTTAACGGGCATGCCCATATTGTTATTATTAAAATATATGAAGTAAACATGTACACGAATTTATGTGAGTGCATGCATACAATTAGAATATCCTCGCCACCCCATGAATACACAAGTGTTATGAAATCACAATTTGATATATTTTTGATGTTGTTACTTGTTAACAAAAATTGCCAAATTGTCTGCTTTGATTATTAAATAAAAGACATACTTGTTGCATGAAACCCTGCCTTACGGAATACTGAAAACAAATATGATTATAATTTTTCAATTTGCAGGCGGACTTGGTTCAAGTAACTCACAGTAATGAGTAGCACGAACGTCAAGTGTACATAGTTTTTTATTTTTATATTTTTGCTTAGCTTGCGTTCTAAATTCAATATTCGGAAGCTTATCTACAAAGTAGCTAACACATTAGGGAGTTAGATTAGTTAAATAGTCTGAAAATAAATCTTGACTTTCTTTTGTGAATGGATATGACTCGGTTTAATTCGACAAGGACACTACAATTGAAACACAAACTCCCCAAAAACAAATAAACAAAAGGAGGAATTGCAGTACACAGTACATAAACATACATACAAAAAACAATAAATATTTGCCGACGTAATAATAGTGACGCACCGTCAGGGCTGAGAGCCGACTAGTTTGACTGCTGCGGCTCATGACTAAAGTAGGGAGCGGTGTGTGGCGTGAGCAACGTGTGACAGATATCACAGACACGGGCGACACGTTTCCGTGGGCCCGATGGCACCGTTTTTGTTAGACATTTATCGCAGTAGATGTGTCCGCAATGGCGGCAGTGTATTTTGCGCACCATTACCGTGAAGCCGGCGTTGCACGTGGGACAATTGTTGACGTCATCGTCATCCTGCCAGCGCACCTCGGTGTCAGCATGTCGCAGCTCCTCCAAGGTCATCTAGAAGAATCGAATGGGAATGCATAAAGTCTAACGCTTAACTGAATAAGATAATTGTTGACATTGTACGATTATAATTAAAATAAATTTGAGCTAATATATCTTTCATGGGATGCGGAGCTTACCTGCAGTTTTTGTGATAACTTGACAAAGTCCTTTTGTACCGTTTCCATTGTGGACAACTCCTCCTGAAGCGTTTTTATCTTAGACTTAAAGTCTGAATTAGTTTTTGTTAGTTTTTCCTGCAAATTTGTCGACCGTGAATTTGACTGATTAAAAATTATACCAGAAACTTACGTTGGCGTCCTGAAGCTCGATAATCTCAACTCGGCACTCGGATAGCTGTTTGTTTAGCTCAGCTTCTTTGCGCTCCAAAAGAGTTTTTGATGACTCATGCGACTGGACCGCCACCAGGTGTTCCGTAACACGATCTCTGCAGAAAATGGCAATGGATTTATGAACGTCTGTGTATATAAATATAAATAACAACTTACTGCAGCGACTTAATATCTAATTGAACTTTGCGTTTGTAAGCACGACGCTCATTGTTGCTCTCCTCGAGTTGAGCACGCAATATTTGAATCTCATCCAGCGAGCTAACGCACTTCTGTTTTTCGTATTCGCTGCTAACGCGCGCCTGTATCAGCTCGCTCTGCTGCCGTAGCATAAGCTCCTGTAGCTCGACCACGGTATTTGGGAGATTTATATATTGGTTTTCAATTTCTTCGGATGTTGCCAGGAAGCGACCGGAAAGAAAATCGTTGTCAGCCTGCAGCGTTTCTAACTGCTGATTAACCCGCTCCCGCTCGTCTGTGACGCGCTGCAACTGTCGCATGACCTCATCCTTGGTCTCTAGGAATTTCTGTTGCATATCTAAAAGCTGTTGCTCGTTATTTTTAACTTGCTCGCGTAGGTTTTGTACTTCGCTTTTATGTGCTTCACGCTTTGCTTGCCACTGACTCTCCAAGTCGTTGCGCAGCGCCGCCTCTTTGCTCAACTGTTCCCGCGACTCAACAAGTTGCTTCTGTGTGACATCGAGCTGCTTTTGCTGCTGTTTCACCTGCGCACTCAGCTCATCCGTAAGCTGTTTCGCCGAGTTGCAGTCCATACAAGCTGCATGTGCGGACACCAAATCTGTTGATGTGGACTTGTGCAAGCCATTTGATGCATCTGTGATTGTTTCAGTAGACTCCTCCCTGCGCTCCGACGTACTACTCTTTGCCTGCAACTGCTCGTCTGTTTCGCGTAACTTTTCCTTTAGGGCTTTCATTTCCTCCTGCAGTTGCTCAACTATTGAGTGCATCATTTCGGCATCCTCTGTTGCCTGCTTAAACAAATTTACAGATGAATATATATATATTCGCCAATATGTTAACATTACTTACGTATTGCTTGACATGTGTCTTGGTTGGTCCGCGCGCATTGCCATCGGCGCTCTCCGACTGGAAGCTATTGTTCAAGGAATCGCTGCCCAACTTTCGGACACTTCCGAGTGTTTTCTTTACCTGATTAAGGACGTGTGGCGCCAAGCCGCCTGATGGCTCTGCCGTGGCTTGGTGCTGCATCTGTTGTAGCTGCTGCTGTTGCTGGCGCAGCTGCTCTAGTTTAACGCGCTCCAATTCGGCTTTGTATATAGCCGACTCCTCAATTGTGTCCTGCACCAACTGCTGCAGCGATGATATCTCCTCTTGGGCCTTTATATCCTTCAACTGCATTTCGTTCTCGGATTTTAGATCAGCGACCATCAGGTGAGTCTTTAACTCATTCAACTCTTCCTGAAGCTGGTTGCGCTCGGCCTCCTTCTGCATATATAGCTCCTTCATTTTCGCACGCTGCGTATTAAACTCGTTTTGCATTTTGCGCATCTCGGTCTGGAGCAGTTCCAATTTATGCTGGTATGTCGCGTCATCATCTCCTGAACAAGTGATTTATTGAGGTCAGTTAAATTCTGCATTGATTATTGAATATGCACTTACCGTTGGCGACGTTATTCTGGGCTTCCGACGTGCTCTCGTTTTCCTCCATTTTACAGCAATTGAGGAACGGCAATAATAACAACAATTATGTTTAGTTTACAACAGGGATGCAAGCCATATGAGTTAGAGATGTACGAATCAGCAGAACTCGCCCATTAGCACTTGCGATTGGTGTTTTGCAAATTGGCGATACGTTTAAGGACTCGATAAGTTAATCAGATGTTTGAAGAAGCCAAATTTTGATTAAAATTTTACATAAGTTAGTGAAATATTTAAGAGTTTATAAGCCGCTGAATGAGAATTAAATACATATATATTATTTTACGATGTAAATAATTAAACTAACTGAAGATGGGGCGGTTAATAACTCTCATCGCAATTAAACTTAGAAAATATCGATATTAAGGAAATCATATTCTTATCGATTAGTTTGCAGCTCTATAACACATCTCTAATCCACATGTGTTTTGGAACGCAATTAGCAAAGTTCTCAGTTTTATTTTAAAGAAAGGCAACAGACGCGTTCAAAATGGTAAAATAATATTGAATAATAAAACAAACAAAAGTTTTGAGTGAATTTCAATTGTAGGTAAAAGGCAAAAAGCCATATATCGACAGAAAAAAAGCAGTCACATTTCACTTGGTACATCGTAGTCAACACGATCCGCTGGTGACCGATGAAACTGCTCCACAGCGTGTGCTCTTGGAGGCGACAGCTAGGCAGTCGCAGGCTAAGCCACAAAATGAAGAGCCTTCAGATCCAGCAAAACGCCAAGAGGAGCTAAAAAAGTTCGGCATTCACTTTGACGATGACTACGACTACATGCAGCATTTGAAAAAGCGAGAAAATGATGTGGTCTGGGAATATATGGAGAACCCCAACCAAGCGAAAAAGTCGAACGCAGACGATTCTAAATCTCGCAACCTACTTGTGCTTCCAAGCTCCGTATTTGCAAGTGAATTTGAAGAGTCTGAAGGAATGTTGAACAAAGCAGCTCCTCAGCCTGGCCCGCGTCCAGATTGGGATCCAGAAGTTGTTGCAGCTCTCGATAGCGATTTTGAGGACAACGAAGAGTTGGAAGACGATTTCGTTATGCAAGCTATGGGCAGCGATGATGACGAAGAAGGCGGCGAAGACGATGATGATTGGCAAGACGAGAACGACGAAAACGATATGGACTTTGATTCGGACAATTTAAATGAAGATGAAAACGCAGATGAGCTAATGGATCGTCTTGGCCCGCTGATGCGGAAAAGACGTTTCGACGATGAAGAAACCAAGTCGCGCTTCACTGAGTATTCAATGTCATCTAGTGTCATCCGAAGAAATGAGCAACTTTCATTGCTAGATGATCGTTTCGAGCAATTCTATGCAAGCTACGACGATCCTGAGCTAGGAGATCTCGCATTAGAAGATATCGAGGGCCACTGGCATCAAAAGCATCCCGTGGTAATGCAATGTTTTCAGGAATTTAAAAAGAAGAATGAGGACTTACATTACGACAAAGAATGGGATCGCGAGCGCATCAAGAAATACTCAAAAGTTGTTGATGGGGAAAACGATCCAACGGAAGAGCTTGTCGATTACGAGGTGGATGACAGCAAAGAAAAGAAATGGGACTGTGAATCCATACTGTCTACCTATTCAAATATTTATAACCATCCCAAACTGATCGACGAGCCGCGCTCTAGTCGCCGTTCAGCGCCTATTCAAATCGATCCCAAAACAGGCCTTCCAGCGAATGTGCTTCGAGGCGGCGCCGACGCTCAGCTTACTGCCAAGGCGTTAGCCAACTTGGCTGATGATACATCAAACGCAGCTGGTCCCAAATCGTTGTGTGCCAAGTCGGTGCTGTCAACGCTTAGCGTTCTCTCCATACGTCCGAAAGACGAAACTCCCGAAGAGAAACGCGAACGCAAACGTTTGCTCAAAGACTACCGCAACGAACGTCGCATCGAGAGGAAGGCCAATGCCGAGGCCTTTAAAGAGGAGAAGAAGCGGCAGACTCACGTCAAAATCAACCAGCGTACTAATCAGCAAGGCTCTGCAATTGTTTAGACCGCTCGATGCCTACATTAAGTTTAAGTGCCAAGATATGCACACTCTTGGAAATGCTAGTTTTAAATCTCTATCAAGATATGTAAATATCTTATGTTATGTTTAGTTAAATATATTTAACTAAAATGTTCAATTTTCCAAAAGAACTGCCATAGCCATTTACTCTTATCCCACGTCCAAAATATTCTATTGACTACTCCCAACGCCGGATGTCGGTCTGTTTACAATGGGAACTCTACTGAAAGGATAACATTTTGATGTGTTTAGACAAAGGCCAGGACTCTCCACGCTGCCATTGAACCTTCCAAATGTAATAGCTTGTGTTACTGATAGTATTTAATCTTTATTTCAGTAAATTACGTTCAAAAATATTCATTTAGCTCCAACATGTGTGCGTGACAGAGGCTTTCTGGTTATTCTGGACTTATCTGAATAGAAGCGCATCTTATAAAACCTTCCATACTATATTTTTCTATTGACGTGCAAAATATGGTATAAACACAAAGCCTGCGATCATAAGATAGCGCCAAATGAAAAAGTATTTTTATGCAAACAATGAATCTGAGGCATAAAGTCCAAAAATATGAAAACAAGAATGGAAAGCTCACTGTGGCACGCCAAAGTGGAATTACCCTCGTGGCTTAGAAATGCTCTTACACAAATCTTCCAATCGAATGTTACTGTTTTGTAAGTATGTATGAAAAATATTAGGGCTTGTAATTGAATAGTTTATTCAAGACAACTTAAAAACAAAAGATTTAAATTGAGCTGTATGATATAGAGGCTCGATGTTGATAAAGTTTTGCAAATATATATTTGCTAAGGAGCATAGTATAAAATATATGTGGAAAATTAAAATAAAGTCGTTCATTCGTCAACTTCAACAATCTCCTATTTTAGCCATAATGTGTGGACTGACCTATAAAGTCTTATAACGATATCCCTAAAACTGAAAAACTGGTTTGGATAGAAGCAGACAGAAGGACTTGGCTATAACGACACGGCTGTTGAAACTGATCACGATTTTATATACTTTATGGGAACGGAGATGCCTAAATCGATAAAGTTAATTTCTTGCATTTGATACAGTCTCCGAGAAAAATGTATAAGGACACGGACATGGCTAGGTCGAGTCGGTTGTTCAAGATGATAAAGATATACACTACTATACAATATAACTTTTTCTGTCTGTTTAATTGTAATAATTGTTTACATTTACTTACTTCATGGGAATCCTCATATGCTTTGTGATGCCCTACGTCTACACGTGTTAATACATACATATATTGTTGTGGAGGTATATACTACACGCATACGTATTTGTACCAGCAATAAAAAGACAACTAGGAGCCACGCAACAATTAGCCCAAACCCCAATGGTGCGGGCCGAAGAAGTGTGGACAAGTGCAGCAGGGAGGCATATGGCGACGCCAGCCGATTTGTTCGAATTGGAGCTTACATACATACAGTACAAATGTACGTTTAATGGGTATGTAAATATGTACAAAATGAAATCGAAATTTCATTGATAATTCACACTTTTTTATGTGAGGTGTCCTGTGCAAACTGTCCTGTGACAGATGGCGACATCGAGTTTCTGTTATTTTTAATGTACGAATATTTGTATGTATAAACTGGGCATACCATATGTAAATATATGTAAACTCATTACAGCGCAATTGAGTCCTAAAAAAACAGCGTTTGGACTTTCCCACGAGACGTGAGCGAAAGTAGGCGCAATTTCCAGCTAGCGTTAGCTTCTACTATTCTAAGTGGTTGTTGGTTCTGGAAAGTCCCCGTAACATCACACTATCGTGGACTTGGTCCGTAAATATATGCCACATGTAAGTATGTATTTAGTTTTTTTTTTTTTTTTTTTTGATAAGTATAGATACCTTATGTACACACAAAGGTATTTATGTACATATGAAAGCTTGCATGAATTTGCCGCCTCACCTGTTTAGTGTTTGGTTATTTTGTGGAAGTTTCAAGTCAATTTGCATAGATTTCATTGGAAAGTCCGACGTCAGTCATTTTACGAAATACTATAGAGCCTTTTAAGTTTGTACCAGTTTGTGGTTTGACGGAAGGGTGCAGACACACTAGTGTTTGGGTATTTCACGTCTATGTCTATATGGTTTTGCAGGTGTAGGTGTAACATGAGGCTTACATTTTCGTCATAATGATGACCTTTAAATTAGGGAAATTCTAATTTAACGATATATAGCTAGGTGTTTTTAATGAAATATGAGCTTTAGTTTTATCTTCTAATAAAATTCGAGTTCGAGTTCGAGCTCGAGTCTCGTATTATAGTATATACGTAATGATTAGCATTATTTAGCAAACGTGTAAATATAATAGATATATAGTATTATTCAAACCATTCGGACTGCAGACCCTAATTACCGACTCTGTGTGTTATACTAAATACCTAAACAACCACGTACTATTGCAAATGATTAAAAATCCACATGGCCACATTTCCATGGCGCCTAACGGAACCTAACACCAATTTGGAACCAAGCTCGAGCTCGCACGCTTTCCCAGCACGATACTCACAACTCCTTGTAAATGGAAACCGTCACAGTTGTCGTGCCTCTGCCCCTGCCCCTGCCCCTGGCACTGCCAGCGTCAGCGCCGGCGTCGCTTTTGCTGTTGGGGGACCGCGTTGTATTAAAGTGGCAAGAAAGCAGCAAAGAAATTCGCGCATTTTCAGTTCCGTTCAGTTCCTGAGCGAAGCCGAAAGGATTCGAACGCGCGTCGGCCAGCAACGCGGTAAAGCCCACAATATTCTAATGTCCAGCTAACAACAAACGTTAGGCTAGCTAGCTTAGCTGGTCGTGTTAACGGATTTCCATTCGGTTATAAGTGGGCTAAAAAGCCGTACAATGCGCTTGCAGTACAATCAAATAATTTCAATATGAATAAATCAGATTGGAGGAAAAGCTGATCAAATATATGTATATTAATGTTTGTACTTGTTGAAAATGTTTTGGCGAAAAGTGAAAGCGTGAAGTTTACAATATGTGCATGCATATGGTTAAAGATTGTTTCAATAGTTCAAGTTAAAAGAAAACAACAACAGAGAAAAGTGTTATTAATTTGTTCCTTTATTCATTCATTTAAAATAAATTTATATTAATTTAACAGTATAATCTTAGCCGCATTTAACAACAAGCCTAATTAATATAAATGGATTTTCAGACTCAATTAGTACAATATAAACACATGCATACATATATATGCACATATGTTCCATAAATATTCAAACAATTAAAAAGTTGCTATAAACACAGATCTTGATTCCAATGTACGAGTATTTATACGAGTATATGCGAGTAAATATGTGTAAGCTTCAGATCTACATCTCAAATGTGTGGCAGACGCAAGTGCCTGCCTCTATGTGTATGTATATGGGCTTAGCCGGATATACTTCATCTTGCGGTCCACTCAGTGAAGTGGAATTTTTAATTTCAATGGCGAGAGCTACTTATCATTTCCATTGTCAGAGGCAATGGCAATGTCAATGTCGGTGACGCTTCCTATAAGCTATATGCTCTAAATGTAACATCAATTGGAATTACAAGCGAAATACTTGGCAGAAACATAATTGTGTCAAACTACCTTCAATAACTCATATACCCAATACGCAGAACATTCATGATTATATAAATCAGAACTTTAAGAGATTTACTCCCTGTCCATGACTCCCTGGCTTGAATTGTCATACATTTTATTAAAACTTTTCGAGTTTTTTAAATCCAATATTCAATTTCCAAGTTATTTATGCTTGGAAATGAGTCTACGTGCGGTTCGCGCTTCATTTCAAATGTTTTTTGGGTTAAAAATAGGCTCAATATAAGAAATTATATAAAATTTCGGGCTTGAACCGGTTCGGTACAAATATGATTCTGATTTCTAATTGGATCCCAATTGAATTATTCCACCTTAACAGTTTCCTATAAAAGTCCGAATCATTTCAAATTCAAGTCATCTTAAGCATTTCTTTCTATTTCCTTTGAGCAATCACGAGGGTTGCCTGCCGATCGTGGTGTCCGATCTTTTTCGCAGAGCCCACATATATATATTATATAAACCGCATTTATATGTGCAATATATCTAAGTAGCCCGATTTGCGTACTGACCAAATTGTAACGATAATATTTAAAGCGCGCGCGCTTAAGTGGAATCGGCACGCGATTCAATTGTCTTACATTGACCGAAGGCGCGAAGTGTGCCGCATGTGCCGCATGTGTGTATGTGTGTATGTAGGTGTGCACACACGCCTTGACCGGCTGCCAGGCAAGAGCTGGAGCTGGAGCATCGCAGTGGCAATCGTTTGACTAGAAGCACATACGCGCCGCATACGCGCCTGCCTCCCACACAGATGGGCCCGATAATCGCGGACAATCTATGAACATATGTGCATATCCGACAGCAGAAATCATGAGATAAGTGACATACACAGACTCAGTTACCGTCACACGTTCGGCTGGGCTTAGATACCTACAAGCGAGTGTATTTACATATGGCATATGCCATGGACAGTAGCTGGCGAGTGGACGGCGGTTTATTTATTTGATATTTGAACGCAAGCCGAGCTGGTGCCGACCGAGTCGAAGTCCATCCAAGAACCCAGCTGAGCACACATAATTAACGGCTCCGTGTCATACATATATATGCCAACATACGCGGGCACATCCTAATCGCGTTTTGTAATCCTCCGACTTAGCATCTAGTGCACGAATTAAGGAGTTTTATATATATATTTTTTTGTATTAAATTCAAATTCGGTTTCGCTATCGTGTTGCAGATTTCATAAAGCGAATTATGAAATTCCCACGTCGATGTAAAGTGAGATGATTTGAGGTTTGGTTTAATTTTCTGTTTCGTCGTCAACATCATGCTGGGCAAATATAACAAAAAAGCATTCATATCGCTTGGATTGACTTTCATATTGATGTGGTGAGTTCAGATTACAATTTGAAAACTTCTTTCCCTTGCCAACCCTCTCATGAAGTGTACATTTGTACGATAGTAAAAGATATTCCATCTTTAAAGTAAACCGAATTATCTGGATGAAATTAATGTTGGGAATGTTGAAGTCAGCTAAGACATCGTATATAAATCATTTTTGTTACTATTTTTTTTAAATATTCCATTATTTTTAATACAAAATCAACAGTAAGAGTGCTCTAGTCGACAAAGATGTACCCTTCCTTTCGTAGATAAATACACAGAAACACTTTGCTTTTTGGAAATCGCCTTTAAAAAAAAGTCTTTTAGGCGGAGGTATGCCAAAGTAAATTAAGATTTATCTGTGGAAATTTTACGAGAACCTATATCACATATTTGGTTATAGCTCCTGTAAATTTCTGCATGTATGTGAATCGTACGAACTAGGTGGTAAAAAAAAGGACAGTGCGAAAATTGTTGTATTCAAGATCCGATCGGCTTCAAATTCAATTTCAAAAGATCTATGGAAAATATATTAGAAACGGGTTTCACAATTTTCCTAAAACCCAGCAAAAACCTTACAGTTTGCAGGTATCACATATTTCTGAAAAACGCACTTCAGTGGGTTGAATATGGGGGTCAAAGGTCTTATCGAGGAAGTTTCAAATCTCGTCCGTTCTTTTTCACCACAACATCGTACGACTTGGTAGCATAGCATGGATGAAGCGTTCGAAAATAAGTTTCTATTAAGGAATGTTCAGTTTTTCAAGATATTTTAACATATCTGGAAGCATCCAAAGCAAGCCGTTCATTTTGTTTTTCAATTTGAACTTTGAGATAATTTAGATAGTATCACCCCCGACATTAGAAATTTAAGTAAAATACTAAAATTATCGAGCCAGATCCTTTACAACTTTTCGTAGTGTTAATATTTTCCTTTTTCAGATATGTAAAAATAGTGCATCTTGAAAATGCTGAATTTGTTGAAATATCTTTAAAAACAGAACATTTCTCCATATAAGATCCTATTATTCTGCCGATCTTTCCCATATGTATATAATTACCAAAAATAATTAAATTAATTAAATAACTGACAGACAATCATAGAAACTTGTGTTTTATATCGCACTGGTCGCAACTTTAACAAAGTACTCTAGAGTCCAGATATTCAAGAGATTTGACTAAGTATAATAAATTGTTATTATTTTCAATATTTCTTTTTATATCTGCATTAGCATTAGCCAAACACTTTCTAAAACGATTCATGGGTAATGTATGTATGAGATTGGCTTATGAGATTTTTTTTCGAAACATTACATTATTTTAGCTGTGATTAATTTCCCCCGTCCTCTCACATGTTCGTGATATTACAACTCATACATATTTGGGCACATGTCATATTTTGAAATTGCATATGCGCCATTTTGTTCCCAGTTTATCCGAAACAAGCTTTGCACGGTATTTCCGAGTATTGGCGAGCCGTTTGACAAACCCACCAAGGTCAATCGAATCATGGCAAATGGGAAAATGGGGTTCCAGCACGAATATTAGTCAGCTTTAAGGTAGCTAGGGGTTGTCAGGTAAAAACCGAAAATGATATGTACACAACTGCATGTATTTACCGTCAGACAGGCCCAGACACGAAGTAAGTTAATTTCCAGTTCAGACTTAAATTGACAAAGTTTACAATGGTGGCATGTGCCCCTGAGGGCCGAGCCTGGGCCCCACTCTGTGTCCAGGAGCCGCTCTCTGCAGACATGCATGAACTCCCTCCCCCCCCCAGTACTTACTATATGCACGGGTATACTAGATGTGTATGCATATTCTCCTTGAGTATTTATATACTATGGCATCCGATTGTATTTTTGTATTTTTGGCCATTTTCAGGATTAGTGAGGCCGAGGACGCCCACGTGAACTACAACTACACAACGAAGCCGCGAGTGGTTCTTCCGCCTAATTATGTCAAGGGTAAGTTTGCAATAATTCAGCATGGACTGCATTATACTTTCAAATCCACATTTGGGTTCTTTAAATTATATGTTTTTTTTTAACCCTGTTGACTAAATAACATTAAATCATTTGACTTTGCTACGATTGTATTTTAATTGCAACAGTTTCTGATACTCTTTTAGAGGGCATTTTATCTTTTTGAATAAATTTTATCTTTAAGGGGAATGTAAATACTTTGATGTATTTATATTTATATTTATTCTGGCTCAGATCAGTAAAATGTCTGTCTGTCTATTTTTTTTCAAGATGCAATACAAAATTTAAGAAATCTTGTCATTTTTCTTTTTAAGGTGATTATTTGAGTAAATATAGACGGATAGGATAGATTGAGTTACATTTTTGATGCCGACCAGAAATAAACATACTTGATGGGCTCAGAGATTCCTTCCTTTGCGTGGGACTTATATTAGGGAAAAGCTATTAAGGCCCTATAAATAATATTTAATAATTATATTAATAAGGATATTAAATCTTCGGCTTACGCGAAAAAAAGCTGTGGTTCATTTTTTGTGTGATTCGTTTTTTTGCCATTGTTGAAGCGTTGCGTGTGGCGTTTATCGTGACACAGCCAATTTCAGGGCCCTTTGCCGCAGAGCCCCTTTTTTGTCTTCAGCCTGTGCATATTCGCTTAACTTCTGTAATTACTACTTTTATTTGTAGATGTGTATGTCTATGCATGCATATATGTGTACCTTAGTGTACACCTGTATGTTGGTCCTTGACGTCAACAGAAAATAAAACTGCGATCGATTAAACCTGAGAGAGAAAAGAAACCGAGATGAGTTTGCATAGACTCTTACGCTTCTTTCAAAGTTGTTACAGCTTATAGATATTTTATTAACTTTAAGATTTGTCAGCTATGTAATACTCCATTACACCCTCCGCCTGCACATTTGAATATAATTACGGATGACACTTATTTCTAAAATCAATATTTCCAGAAGTCCCAGTTAGAAAAGGTTTAGCTTTTGAGTAATTAAACTTGCCTTTATTTGCAGAAAGGAAACATTCTTCATTTGTTTATTTTTATTTTAGACGATTTTAGTAATCGTTCGCTTGGAAAATATCCACAATCATTAAGATACTTTGGTCAGATACATGTATATTGATAATGTATCTAAAGTTAAACGAGCAAGCTTGACCTATTTAATTGGTCTCACAGTCGAAAGTATCCTTGGTGACAGATTGAAGCCTTGCAAAGACGTTTCTTGTTGAAGTTTGGGAAATTCCAATTACAAATGTGTAACAATGTACAAATGTATAAACATTTTCTCATTCTTAAAGACCTCTGCACAAATTTGTATACGCTAAACCCATCGAAAGTGGGTAAAGGTTTGAGCAAATGTTTAAAGCAGAAGGCAACGTTGACCTCATAAAGTATATATATGCTTTGGGACTTTTCACCAATTTTAGCCACAATTTACATGTTTTAGATTTCTAACAAAAAAAAAACCTTTAGAAGTGGAGTTCAGGTGGATAGAGTTAGTTGGGGCAGATTTAAATTATCCACGGGCGGGAACTGGCTGAAAAAGGTTTATCTAAAATGTGAAGCACAAAATGAAGAATAATATTATTCCTGATCTGGATGTGCATTTAAGTAGGTGTAAGCACTGTATTTTTATACAGTGTGGAAGTGTTACGAAAAGTTGAGCGAAAGCTTTATTTTGTTCACAATCAGTTTTTTATTATACTGGACAAATATGGTTAGCATGCGTCCAAATGTAGTTAACTTTTTAGAACTCTTTAAGAATTCTTTCAAGGAGAGGAATTCTGTCTTGTTATTATTTATTTTATGATGTTGAAACGAAACCTTACCACATTTTGAATTAAAATGTAGACAATATCAATTTAGGCTTAACCTTAATGCTTAAAGCCAGCATTTTTATTGTTATTGATTTTCACTGTTGTGCAACAAACCCACACGCTGTCCCTGAACTTGAAATGGGGCTGGTTTTCCAATTTGTCAAAGAGTAACATGCTCACGTGCATATGTATAATAATAAATCGTATCTTCAGTGGAAACGCTTAAATTATCTGCTAATTTAGTATAAACATATCATTATTGGAATTGGTCTACATAATGTACATAATGTAATTCTCTGCTCTGATGATTGACTCTCATATGGTTATTTCCAGAAATGCGACCGCCCTCAAGGAAGGGCTCCCCAGTGATAGTAGACTTTAGCATATTTGTTGTAGATATTAACTCAATTAATGTAGAGGATATGGACTTTAGGTAAGTGAGAGGCCGGAGCAGCTTTAAGATCGCAATGGAATCACCATAATATAGCCAGTCTGTATATATATGCGTTTTCAGAGTTGACATGTTTATACATCAACGATGGATGGAATCCCGACTGGAGATATCTGATGACATATTCGAGGAGGGCGACGATTACGTCACCTTGCTTCCAGAATTCTTCGACAACCTCTGGCAGCCAGATCCGTATTTTCTGAATTCTAAAATTGCCGGTAAGTTGAATTTCTCATCGAAGTGCATGTTCTTCTCTGAAAGCTTCTCCCTAAAAATAATTTGTTGTGTTTGTAGCGTTAGTTTCGACACTTGGATCTTAGATGCATTGTTAAACCTATCACAGACTCACAATAGAATAATTAGAGAATTATTTTCGAATTTAATAACACCGATAAGTCTTTCCGATGCACGCAAGCTTAGAGATATGTATATTAACCTATCTACTTATTTAATTTTTTGTATAATAATATTGTGTGTTCTTTTTTTATACTTTTAATTTTCATTGTTTTAACATTTCCAATTGACAATAACAAACAACTAACAACAACGCAATCTACTAGGATTTGGAAGTCCATATATTTCCACAACCTCTCTGCTACGCTATAAGGATGAAAGAGAAACTAAAAACTTTCATCTAGACAAAGCTTTAAGTATACTAACAATCAAATTTAGAAAGTCTTTTCGTGTTGCCCATTATTATCAACTCAAATTCAGAATACAAATTTCACAAAAATTCTCATGCATAGTTTAAAAAAAAAAACTCTCTTCGGCATGCCGAAAATGAAATATCCTTGCAGATTAAGATTGAGGTTCCTGTCAATCTGGCTGTTTACTTTTAAGTTTTTCCACTTGGTTTTTTTTTCAATTAAATCAGCTTTATTATCCAGTTATAAATTTGTATACAAATTCAAGAATTTCTATATCCCGCAGCCGAAGGGTCTTTTGACAGACGGAGTCTGCGGAAATGGGTGGAAACTTTTTTGCTTTCCATCCGAACAACTTCAAACTTATTTTCCAATTTTAAAATTTTATTATTGAAAATTAAAAAATTAAATAAAATAATTTGAATAACTCAAAATTTTCAAGAAACTTTCAGTTTTTCGTTTCAATAAGTTGCAAAGATCTTTGAAAATAAGTTTGAAGTTTTGCAGAAAAACAACAAAATATTTAGTCTGAGTGTGATTATCCTTAATTTGTTCTTTGTTTCAACTTTGAATGTTGACGCATTGTCTTCACAACCCCCAAACCCCCAAAAACAATATATGTTCCCCAATCTGATATATGTTATGAGAAATGAACTCCTTTCCATATAAACTCTGCAAGGTTATATTACCATCAAGGTTAGATATATATAAATATATATATAACCATTGATTTCTCAAATCAAAGTTCACATCTCACACTCTTTATTAACCAATCTTAAACTATATCGTGCATTATTGGATCACATTCTCTACATTTAACTTTGTGTTGCTTAAATGTTTTATTCATATCGTATGCCAAATACAAATGTAAAATTGATCTTAATCTGAAACTGATTATACTTATTATTATTTATTTTTCAATCACTCAATGCAGCCAACTAACAAAGAAAGTCCAGTTTAGACAGTGTATTTTTATTTTTAAATAAACCAACATTTGGTACAATTATCTGCGATTGCGTGCAACTAGAAAATCAAGCCCCAAGTCTTAAAAAACCAATTCGGAAATTGGTTCTGAGTCCACAGTAGCCACGAGCTGGCCACTAATCGCACGCTGGCCAAACTGTTTTCAATGTCAGGGCCAACAGGAGGCAGAATTGACCACCCCAAGTCCATGCCACATGTTTTTCAAATTTCGCAGTGGTATAGAGTGCGATAAGATCTGGACAAGGTTTCAGGTGCCATTGTCAGCGCACACGAATATCGATTTGGCCTTAGCTCCGAAAAACTCGGCATTTCACCTTAAATTTCGACATATTTTCGTAACTTCTTAAATGGCTCAAGCTACTTTTGAGGGCCTACAAAATCGATGTAGTTCAGCTAATATCGGAGCATAGCTATAGTCTGCCGATTTGTAGAACTTTATGATTTTGTCATGCTCGTAAAAATGGGAAATTTGGCATTTGGATAGCACTTTCTCGTATATATGAGCCTTTCAATTTTCCTTTATCCGCTCACATTTTCTCAAATCAGTAAATTTCGACTTTCAGCTTTGGGTTTGTTGAACCTATCTCCAAGCCCAACTTTTGGTATGTACATTCACTTTATAATATAGCAAACTTTTATACTTTGATAATATCCCATAACAATCTATAATCCATAACAATCCCTAACATCTTGTGACGATCAAGCTATAAGAACGGAATTTTCTGTAGTGTATGTAAGTTATAGTAAAGTTTCTTTGTTCAAATTAATTTGAGGGGTGTTCCATGCTTGTCGCAAAATCCATGCCTTCTTGGTGGAAATGGGTGTCAACTGAAGTCTTGGGCTTGAATTCATTTCCAAAGATCCTTACGCTGTCATTTGACACGTTTTTCACATTTTTCAAAGAATCCCAACGAATTTTTGACATACAAAATTAATAATAACATGTTTCAACGATTTTTGAAATTCCACCCGTAACAGTGGAAATCTAGCGGAAGTTTAACTATTCTTCTGTCTATTGGCTTTAAACTAACGTGCAATTCTTCCTCGGGAGGAAAATGCGTGAAAAATTGATGTCTCAAATTTGAACCAGAATCCTTGAATCGGGTAAGACCAGGGACAGTACAATTGATTACAATTTTCCACGGGCAATGGAAAAGTTATATATTTAAAATTTAGGCACAAAAGTTGCCACGGCTTAAGCCAAAAAGTACCCGCTAGTATTTATGTATTTGTATTTAAAATAGTTAAAGCGTTATTATTTGGTTTTTTATGCTTCATTTGTATTTGAGCCGCTTTTTAATAGATGATCAGCCTTTCGTTTATGGATACACATTTAAGTAGACATACATTGTTTTTATTATTCTGACTTTCTAATAAAATAATTAATAATTAAGCTATAAATAGAAATTCGATGAGCATTAAAACCGTATGTTATTGGAATAGGAATCAATATAACCAGCCATGTTAGGGGTACCTCATAGTTCCCAACTATCTACTTATATACAGGTCGACCCTACTCTGTCGATCTGTCATGCTTGGAATGTAACTAAGAGACCCCTGGCCGGGTAAGACGGTACCCTTGTATCATTTGATTAGGCATTCAGTTGGCTGCATCTGAGCCAGAATTTTATTTAAATTAAGCACCATTGCATTATCGACAACAACATATACAAATCCCTCATCCGTGTCAACACACTCACTTTCTGTTCCAGCAAATATTCGTTCGATAAGTCCGCAGGACTCTACATGATCGTTGCGAATAGGCATTTCGATGCGTTAGCTGATCGAAATATGCATCCGAGTCATTTGCTTATGTGTAGTATTATTTCGAGAAGCACCCGCCCGCCACCTGCATACCCGTACATCTATGTAGCCACAATATCAGACAATGAGTGCCTACCAATCCTATAGTTCTAATCGAGACTACTTTGTTCCGCATCTCTGCAACGTCTTTTCGATGTCTTTTCGTTGTAGAAATAGCTACCCTGACGCACAAGTTCACATCGGTAACGCTCTATAAGAATAAGACCGTGCGCTATGCCGCTCGCATGCATGCCATAATCGCCTGCCAAATGGAGTTCCAGCTGTACCCCATGGACATTCAAGTGTGTCCCATTTACATTGAAAGTTGTAAGTGGATTGAAAAAGAGTTTTAGCCTGTCAAATCTGTAAAATCATAATTAAGGCTTGCACATGTCTTTCAAGTTTCGTCCAATAACCAGAAGGTGAAGTTGCGCTGGTCCGATTCCGGAGTAACGCTGAATCCAGAGCTAAAACTGCTGCAGTACAATCTTGGCCAGCCGCTGGAGCTGGAGGAGAGCGATGGCTATATGCCAGAGAAAGTGGGCAACTTCTCACGGCTCACCGTCTATTTTCGGTTCGAGCGGCAAATCGGGCATCATCTGATACAAACGTTCGCACCTTCCTCGCTGGTGGTGATGCTCTCCTGGTTCAGTTTCTGGTTGGGCCTGGATGCCATTCCCGGGCGCGTGACCCTGCTGGTCACCTGCATGCTGACGCTGGTGACAATGTTTACGGGGCTGCGAGCAGATATACCACCCGTTGCGTATGTTAAGGCAATTATCCAGCTCCGAACCGTAAGCATAAGACGAAAACTAACAGAACGTCATCTTTGCTTCCATGCGACAGGCGCTTGACTTGTGGATGGCCGGATGCATGGTATCTGTGTTTGCCGCCTTGGCCGAATTTGTCGTGGTCAAAGTATTGGACGTTCAGTACCAGTACCAGGTGAACCGAATACCAAAGGTACTGCCCATGGTAAGCTTCATACTGTGCTCCGCTTTAATAAATAAGAAAAAACACTTTTCTCTATCGTTCTTTGTCCGCCCGTCTGCGGTCTGCACAGCGCATAAGCAATATGGAAAAGGGTCAATGTGCAACTGTGGCCAGCTGGGAGGGTGGAGCCGTACGGTCACGAAAGGCCACACAAACTCCGACAACACCGGGCCAGGTGAGTTGCCTTGGCACACATGCGAAGGTCCTTCCGCCATTAATGTCAATATATGCTTGGCAAATCGAAGCATACGAACAATCTGCCGAGCCATCCATAATATATAGTATAATCCTTAAACGCTTTACAAATTATTCTTTTCTTTTGTATCTGCAACAGACTTCACTGCAGGGCAACGGCGGGCCCCCAAAGCCTGCGCGCCGCCAAAGCCTTTTGTCCGTTGCATGGACGGACACGGATACGGGCGTGGAGAAGATCATGTGGCGTGAGATTGACAAAGTTTCTCGAGCCGTATTTCCGATATTGTTTTTTGTGTTCGTGCTACTATATTGGCCCATATTGCTGATGAAGTCGTCCTAGGATTTGGGGAGTTCCAGAATACACTTTTCTGGACTCCGTTAAAAATTCAAATGGAATTAACTCACAACCATATTGGAATTATATTGAACACAACGCGGCCCTACACTACAACCTATACCTATACCCATCTTTAACTATACAATAACCAACTGCTATGAGCATATCACTCCACTCAAGTACAACACATTCTATGGAACCTACAGTTACCTTTCCAATGGGCAAATCCTGCTAATATCTAAAGTAATACTTTCGTCTCTAAACCGAAATTGACAGTTGCTCATCATATATATATTATATATTATTTCTTAAATTTGTGTACTCATTCTTCGTCCATCTTTTAGCTTGCATTTTTTCGGGTTAAGCGTAGCTGAGAGCCTTAAATAGTACATATACAGATTCAAAGGAAGTAGCTTACTATAGGTACATGCTTGCTAGTTATTTGAATATTCTATGAAAAGTATTTTGGAACAGATTCATTTGTATATTCGCTCCCAACAAAGATGGGCTTGTACTCGACCTGTCCAAATGGCTAGAAAGATGTTAACAATTAATTGAAAATAATATGCGCTGATAACTCATTCAAAAGTTTTAAAAAAAACCGGAGCATTTCGAAAAATAATTTAGAATCCGTATCGGCTTCAACATTATTCGCTTTGCGCATAGTAGACATCTTTGATGATGGGTTAATTTTAATCTTATCATTTCGTTTTTATTTATTGTTAGTTATTAAAAAAAAATATATATGTATTTATATATATATATATATTTTTTAAGCTTAGGAAAATATGCCAGAAAAATAATTGGTGCTTTAAAGAGATAATAAAATTTACAAACCCTCTAAGGATCAAGACATATTCATACACACTTGGAATGTAAATAAGTAGTTAAAATGCTATTTAGGACTTTTTACACACTAATAAGACAAATAATCAATTTAGCGCATTTTTGAAGCAAACGGCATTAAGACAATGCGAAGATTTTGAGCTGTGGCTTTATATATTTTATATATTTACCTGTAGTAAAAAACAGCGCACTCAAGAAAAGCTAGAAATACGTACGTATGTTAAAGATAATTCATAAGGTATAAAGGTAAAGATTATATTTTGTATAGCAAAACATTGTGTAAATATAGAACAATTCATATTCAAGTTATATTACAAACACAAAGAAACTTATTTATTGTAGCTACAATATGTGTGTATATAAATTTTCATCGGTTAAATTTTGTATTTCACGAGCTCTTTTTTTTTATACGAGAAATGGAAAATGTTTCTTTTGCTCTAATAATTTTATCCTCAAAGCTTTGAACATATCGAAAAACAATAAAAAAAAGTATTCAAGTATGCATGTAAAAGTAAATAAATAAACCAAATTGATTCTAATCAAATCCATTAACTGAGCTTTACAGGCTGATAATAATAAACACAATAGTTCAAAAAAATTACATTTAATAATATATATTTAATATATTTAATAATATGTGTATCCGTAGGGTCTATATAACAACAACACTATGAACTATACATTATGAATCGTCGTTGTCCTCCGCATCAGGCCCGTCGCTATCTTCTTCGCTCCCTTCGCTAAACTGACATTCCAAATCTTCATCCCCTGGACGTCTTATCAACAACATTTCATTATCACTGTCCTCATTGGTTGTTTCGGCTTGATCTTCGCGGGCTTTCAGATTCTCCGACCTCTCCAGGAGCACCCGTATCGTGTATTTGTTGTAGTCGCATCTGAAAATTAATTAATTGGTTATGTTAAAAGCTTAGATTACCATTAATGTGTACCAATTTAAGAAACAACACTTACATTTTGTTAAGCATTTCATATTTTCGGGAAATACTCTCGTGTAACGCAAGCAAAGCTGTATGCTGAAAGACACCGTCATGATAGCCATGGGTAGTTAGCAAGCAACAGGACCACTGCAAATAGAACTCAATGTGGGGCGAGGACTGCAAGAGGCGTGCGAGCTGTTGCAGCAAACGCTGGGCGTAGTCGGGGGATAGATCCGCGCAAATAAGCTCAACTGGAAAGAAAAAATACATCGGCTTCAATATATGCAGGCACGTGCTGCAAACCAATAGCAATCAATTTACATCTTTTTTGTATGCATGTTTCAATTCGGTTTGTGGGGCTAGCAAGTGGCCGAGAGGGGCTTATTAACAATGTACCTACGAATAGTTGCGCCTGTCAAACCCTAACCGGCCATGCGAAAGCAAAAGGAACCTTGAAACTGTTTATTAACAGCAAAAACAAAAATTTGCACATTCGATCCAAACGGAGTTGGGTAATAAGCGCCTTGAATGTAAGGGTAAATCCAACTCCCATCTATTTTAAGACATGCGAAAAACGGCAAAATGCCTATCGATTATAAAAATTACAAAAAAGCCAACGAAGGCTTTTAGGCTGACTCTGCTTGCAAGGTTGAACTGCATAAGGAACTTTCAACATTCCAGTATTCATGTAATTTACGAGTACTTACTGTCCCTATGCGGCACGCGCTCTAGCACTAAGGTCACCAAATTGGGCTCGTTCAGTTTCAAGGACATAACGAGCGCCTTTGTGAACTCCTTGTTCTTTAGCGCCTCGTGTGTCGCTTTAGGTGTCACTTCCAACGTCAAATCAAACGGATCGAAAACCACACCTGAGAAATATAATAAATAATTTAAGGAAATCGGATTGTATACTATATATCTGACGAGCTGCTCACCCTTGTCTAGCGCATATATGCAAAGTCCTTCGGTGCCTGCGGCGGCAAACGCTTGCCCCGTGGGGGAGAAGCGGACAGAGAAAACCCTCACTTCTGGCTGAAAGCGTCGTGCGGACATATCACCTTTCCGGACTCCAGGCAAACGAATCGCCACTTTGCCTCCCTCTAGTTCCTCGCGCTCTTCAACCAACGCCATGTTACCAAACTCGCTGAGATGCTTCCGGCTGATGAACTCCTGCAAATTAAAAGTATGTAAGCTTACTGAAGGTAACCATGGCATATTCCACTCACATTTAAACCGTCTAAGCTGTGGTTCTGAGTTATTTCGAACTTCTTGAGCAACATAGCCTCACGCACATGATATATACAAATATTGGCGGATTTACCGGCTGCCAGAATACATTCCCCATCCGCCGAATACTCTATTGTTGAGAAGTAGCTAAGAAACAAGGATTCGATAAAAGATGAAGGCAAGGTTAATATAAATGGTTTTAGCCCTTTTTAGGGTCCGTTTTGATTCACGACAATCCTCATAAGCGGTCAATACCATAAAACACCTCTTTGACTTACTTCGACTCTGCATTTTTTTTGGCAGTTACAATATCAGTTTCCAATCGGCCGCTGCTTAGATCATTGCGTCCCTCAATTGTGCTCACTTGGGTTGCAGATTTCACATCAAAGATTATTATGTTGCCAACAAGTGTAGCGACTGCGACCTGGGTAAGGATTCAAAAAAATCACATTTGATAACACGTATTATGGAAAAATGAAAAATGTTTGAATTGCATTTACCTCTTCACCGCTGGGACTAAAGGCAACGCAAGTCACGTCGGAAAGCGCATCGATTGTCTCGTGCTCGCTGTTGCTCTCCAGGCAATTCCAAATCTTGACCGTTTTGTCCCAAGAGCCAGAAATGAGCGTCGAAGAAGTTGCGACTGGCGAAAAAGCAATGGAGGCCACAGGCCCCTCATGACCACTGATAACTTCCAGCAGTTTTCCCGTCTTAATGGACCACAAATATATCTCGAACACATCTTGTCCTCCTGCAACGACCAACTCTCCAGAGTAGTCCACTGCCACGCATGCGAACTGTGCGGGAGTCGGTGATGTAAATGTTCTAAAGTTACGATACCTGCATATAAAAGGAAACAATGATAGAATTTATATGCATTTAGTGAGGACAAATCAGACCTTATTATGTCAAAAGCACGCACTGTGCCGTCCAGCGAACTGCTAACCAGGAACTTTTTATTGCGGCTGAACTGGACCGCGGTTACGCCACTCGTGTGCTCACTGAACGTGACAAAGCAGAAGCTGCTCTGTGTGTTCCAAAGCTTCACCTTGGAGTCCTCGCCGCCAGTGGCGATATACTGGCCATCTGGAGAGTAGGCGATACAGGCCATTTCACTGCTATGGCCCTGCTGCTTCATAATGTATTGCTCGCTCTGCCATTCCCACACCAGAAGCTGTCCTATTTCGCGTGACGCCAGCGCAACCCAATCGCCTGTGCAGTTAAAGACGGCCGCCGAAATGGGATATTCGGATATGCTCAGCGAGTGTATCATATTTACGTCGGGCAGCTCGTACAAATAGAAGGCGCCTGTGCTAAAGGCCACAACCAAAACCTTGGTTCGTCGATTGTAGTTGGCCGCGGTTAGCATGGCATCGCGCTTCTCCTTGCGTGGCTCGTTGGCCAAGTAGTGCCGGCCTAGCTTTTTGTAGAAGAACGGGTGTGTTTTTCCAACGATTCCATCTTTCACTTCGTTTTGATCAGCTTCCAAGTCTTGTTTGACTGTTTGCTTTTCCACATTGTTTTCAATATCATCTTCGGACTCGCTGTCGGATCCTTTAAACGCATTAGGAACCCTGCGCTTCCGAGCTGGCGGTGCCGCTTCTGGTTTATCAGCTTCAATCAAATCCGATGGCTCCATGCTACATTCCCACAGGCAGAGTTGTCCATTCCGGCTCAGAGTGTTCAAGTGCAAGCTATTTGATTCAAAAAAGCACGAGACTATGGCATCCGTGTGGCCGCTGAGGTTGTAAGTGCGAAAGTTTTGCATGTAATTGACAGCGCATATTTTAGTGGAGCTGTCACGGGAGCCTATGGCCAGTAGCTTAGAGTCTGAGGACCAATCCATCCACGTGACGTCATCGTAGCCACCAAGGAAACTGCGTTTTAGCACAAATGGATTGTACTCGCCAGTAATTTCGCCAGGAGCGCAAAATATGAGCACTAGATTCTCTCTTGCGACCGCGAAATAGGCACCGTCAGGACTAAAGTTGATGCACTGCACTCCCGTTTGGAATTTATGCCGATGTATAACCGTACAGGAGACCATGCTGATTAAATGCGCATCGCCCTGCTCATTAACAGCGATCAGCAAGCTGCCATCCGGCGAGAGGGCTATGTTTGTGTAATTGTACCGGGACTCCAGGGCCAACGTGCGCGACTTGTTGCTAACAACAAAACAATAGAGATGCGATTTAGACTGGGAAGAGGAATGTGTGCGCTTGGGTAACATACTTCTTGAGATCGTATACGGTTATCCGGTTGCCCACTGGACTAATAACCGAATTGCCATCTGGTGTGAAGACCAAGTTTCCATTGCGATAAATTGTGCCCAACAAATTCGAAAACTGCAATTAAATGAAATTATTTGTTATGCCTATCAAGTGTTGTATTGCTCATCGCATATATTCACTTTGTAAGAAAACTTCATATCGCAGCTTTACTATATAACTTAATATTTTAAAATAAAGCGTTAAAGCGGTAATTATAAACAAAAGCACTGCACGTGTTAGGCAGTGCGACGCTAAAATACCAAATATGCAATATAATAATAATACCAAAAATACTAACATGTCTATTGTGAAGATTTAGTATTTTTAGCAAAAGTAATGCTACTATTAAAATTTACAGCTGATAAGTACAGTGCTGCCAACTTGTCTTACTTACACTTTCATTTTACGAAAGGAAGAACAAGACACAATTTACAAAACAAAAGAAAACACAAAATACATAAAAAATACTCGTAACTGAACAATGGAAACGAGCAAATCCGCTTCGGATAAGTTGGCCGAACGCAAGGCACGTTTACTCGAGCTGCACAAACAGCGCCAGGAGGCGCGCACACAAAACCACCAAGAAGTCGTCGCAGAAGACGCACGTAAAAAACTGCCCAGCAACTGGGAGGCTCGTAAGCGACAAGCAGAATGGTTGCTAGCAGATGACAAGGCACGCGCAGATGCAGAGGCTGCTGGCAAAGATTATGAGCGCCTGCAGCTGCTCAAGGTGTCTGCCATCGATGCGGAACGCATAGAGAAAAAGAAGAAACGCAAAGATAATCCCGACTTGGGCTTCTCCACATACGAGGCGCAAACAGCCAGGCAATATAATCGCCTGGTCAAGAATATGCCAGTTCGCGACATGGCCAAGTATGAAAAACAAAAGGCTGAACTCGGCGAGGCCTTTTACGGCGGCCCAAACACGACGCTTCATTTGCTTACCAAGGACACGCCTAGTGCTATTAACAATATGGTTAAAGACTTGGAGCAGCAAATCGATCGCAGAAAGAAGTATTCCAGACGACGAATCTATAACGACGACGCCGATGTCGACTTTATAAACGAACGCAACTCAAAATTCAACAAGAAGTTGGATCGTTTCTACGGCGAGCACACGGCTGAAATTAAGCAAAATCTGGAGCGCGGCACGGCAATCTAAACCTAATTTTAAGGCAAACAATTTGACTAAAATGTCAAACCTAGTTCATAATGGCATTTGTACCTAGAAAGAAAGCTATATAAACATGTCTATGTACATACATCTAAACGCCAACTTATTTCAAGTTGTAGCACGTATGAGGTGCAGTTATTTGGCCGTCTACCTATTGGCGAAAAATACCGCGCTGTTGGTATTAAATACCAGCTCGTAAGCTAAAAAAATACAATCTAATAATGGCATTAATTGGTCCCTCTTCATACAAGGTTTGTTTAGTTAGTTCTGCATTTCAAAAAATTTGCATATAGGCATATTAAAAACTCGTTCGTCAGAGTATTATGGTAATTTATTCAGACAATAGACATAATGCACAATTTTAGCGCACGTGAAAAGTATTTGATTTCAAACACATTAAACTGTTTGCCCGTAATACTGCAAGGACGTGCCGTGCTCATAGATCTACGAAATGAGACATCCGTGGCAGGGATTATAAGTATCGCTGACGGCCATATGACATGCGAGCTGACAGACGCCGTTTTTATTGATCGTAATGGTCAGTACCATGCGTTCGACCACTTCATGATACGCAATCGTATGATTCGTCTGATGCATATACCGCCGGATCTGGACGTTGGACATGAGCTAGCGCAGCTGCACCGCAAACCCGCAAGAAGGACCAAGACAAATGCCAAGCGCACCTTCAAGCAAAAGCGCGCAGAAGAGCGACACAAGGAAACTTTGGAGAGTATCAAAACTCAAAGAAAGAGTGAGCAACCGAAGGAAGATCTGCCCAAGCTTGGCAAAAATTACGAACAAATAAACCATTAAGCCAAAACAAACACAATTTTATTCATTTAGCATTTAATGTTTTTGTATCTCCATAATTTGTTGCTGTGCAATTGTTAACATAAGATATTATTTTGCTTTGTTCTGCTCCTTGTATTTGTAGTGAAGCTCCATGCAGTCTGTTTCTGAAATTTTGATCCAGCCATTTGGAGTCATGTGGTACACGCGAACAATTCCGCCCGAATAAGCATCACGGAATGTGGCATGGTAAATGGCACGGCGACCCAGCTCCTGTGCTTCAGTGTCCTTCAAGTCCCAGTGGTAGCCTGAGTCCAGGACTCCGAAAGCATAAATAGAACCGCTGCCAACCGAAAATACGTTGCCGGGAGTGCGTGATCCTTCCGAGTCCACGTAGTACAGTCCTGGTCCGCGCTTGTCATACCCGGCCAACATCATGCCCATGCTTAGACCCATGCCCTTGTACTCGTGAGCGATATTTGCCATGATCTTGCTGGCCGCAGCCACCGAGATGCGTTCCTTGTTTCGCAGCTCGTGTAGGCGACATTCCTTTGCCAGCACGCGATCCCAGTAGACACAGTCAGCGGCACCGCCGGCCAATGTTCCAAGCAAGAACTGGTTGATTTCGACAATTTTCTTCATTGACTGCGAGCCAATGTATTGACCTCCGGTTGCACGCGAATCCACGGCTAATATGACGCCGCCTTGGTACTTGAAACCCAGAGTTGTGGTGCCGTGATCAAAGTTTATCTTAACGCCGCTGTTACTAGCGTTTGCTTGGATTTTGTTCAAGTTTTCAAGGGGCTGCAGAAGAATGTTTAATCGTTTACTTATTTATAATGATATGGATATATATTTTTATATTTCGCTTACATTCTCAAACGGGGGCGCCGCCAATGTATATGGATTTGCAATATTACTGGTGAATGCGTTGAGCTCGTTCTCGACTTCCGTTGAAGTCCAAGCAGCTGGCTTCATATATGAAGCATTGGAAATTTTACAAATTTCTGCTAAAGCCATTGTATTTATTATATCTTTCCTTTAGTTTGCCGACACGGGAATTGAAAATTATTTTGTGATGAGATGACAAAAATTAATGAAAATTACCCAACACTGCGATACATACAGTTATGGGCACCCCAATTACTTTAACATTTACATAATGTTATTAACAGTGAACAGTCAGTTGTTCTTGAAAAAGAGGCCGTTACTCGTCTCCCAGTTTTGCATCAAATAAATGTGATTAAAGCAATTATACTTAAAAAAAATTGAGCGCTTTTAAGTGGGGCTTTTTATACATAACAAGAACGTCATGATCGATACTTTCGATATCACGTAGACTGGCGATAAATTTTCGATATGATCAATAGGTGACAACCATGAACAAACCTGTTGCCAATTTTGCAATTCGCCTCAATTTTCTCTTCTATTTTCCTTTAGGCCTGGCTTAAAGCCAAATTATCTCTGGGCGTTTACTAAATGTAAGCAAAATATAACGCAAGTTGCTGATTATTGTTTTCAAATTATAAAGTAAAACGTGCTAAAAAACCAGAAATCTAACGAATAACGGTATTAACAGCAACTTAAGTTGTAAGTCTGGGCAGTGCTTAAATTCGCTGCAAAGCGGTCGACTTCGATTGGCAAAATATTGTTGTATTTGTGAAACGTGCCTAAAGTTAACAAAAAGAATTTAATTCAACCATAAACATTGCAAAATAAGAAAAGGATATGCTAAAAAATTCGAAAAGCATCTAAATATGTGAATGCGTGCGTACAATGAATGTGTGTGGGTATGTATGTATGTATGTATTCAAGTACACCAAAAGTGCAACGTATTTTTATGGGCATTGTACTTACACACACACACACATACATACACGCATGGATAAGTGTATTGTTGACTTGTTTTTTAGTCGATTGCAAACAATTTTATTTCCGAATTTGCTTTTAGACAATGCAGTATGGATCACAACCTGAAACAGGAAGCCCTGCCGAATGCCATTTCCGGGGTTTGTCCAAAAAGAAATCGTATCGGTGCATAGTATATTTCGTAATATTCATTCATTTCAGCATGACTCCAGAAACTGGACGTCATTGCACGAAGCAGTTGCGGCAGGAGACGACAAGCGTGTCCAAATATTGCTGTCCAGCAGTGCTGATCGCCTGGCCAGAGAGTCTATCCAGGGCAACACAGCCTTGCATGAAGCAGCCAGCCGTGGGCTCAGTCGCTGCGTAAAGTTACTCTGCGCTCCCCCACCCACAAAACCGCAGCAGAAGGAGAAGAGCAGGCTGAAGGCGAGGGTGGCAAACACGATCGAGGCTCTGCACAATAGCACGCTGAACATTATTAATAACGAGGGTCTTTCGGCGCTTCATTTGGCAGCGCAAAATGGCCATAATCAAAGCTCTAGGGAGTTGTTGATGGCCGGGGCAGATCCCGATGTTCAGAACAAGGTTAGTTGTATTTATATATTACATTGTTCATATCATAACTAATAATCGGCATTCCACTCAGTACGGCGATACTGCGCTACATACTGCATGCCGTTATGGCCATGCAGGCGTTACGCGTATCCTTCTTTCGGCATTGTGTGACCCCAACAGGACGAACCTGAATGGGGACACTGCGTTGCACATTACTTGCGCCATGGGCCGCCGGAAGCTGACGCGCATTTTACTGGAGGCAGATGCACGTTTGAATGTGAAGAACGCACAAGGCGAGACGCCTCAAAACATTGCGATCAGAAAGAATTACCGGGAAATCAATGAAATTCTGAGCACTCCAAAGCGTATACGTAACCGTAAGGAAAAGCCAAAGGAACATGAGAAATTAATGCCAGCTCAGGATAAAGATAAAGATAGTGCAGATAATGCGATCAATTGGTCCCCTTATGGCTGCCACTACTTTCCCGATCCGCGCTCCTTTCCATCGCCCAAACTGGAGACCTTACCCAAAGAACCGCTAAAGCAAGGCGAACAATATTTTCTTGACCTCGCCGGTAACATACACAAGGGACCAGTGAGTGTTGGTAACACATGCTATTGTGGCCCCTTCTTCCGGCATATAGAAAATAAATTGAACTGTAATCGCAAAAGTCTAAAGAAGTATGTACACAAAACAAAGGAACGACTGGGCCACAAGGTCCAAGCGCTGGCGATAAAAACGAATGACCAAATCGAGCAGCTGACCCGAACGATGATCGAGGATCGGATTCGTTGTGAGAGCAAGAGGCAATACCTCAACGAATATCTCCGACGTGGGGAACCATTTCGCTCCACATTTGACAATCAAACCAAAAGTCAAAGAGTCGAACGGACATTGTCTCGATGCCGAAGCTTGGATTTGCTTGAAAGCAATTTTGAAAACGGCAAAATGTCTAATTCTAAGAGTGTGGACATTTTAGAAAAGGAAAATCAAACTGTTGTTGATGTTGTCTACCATCCCCATTCGAACGATGTGCCAGTTGAGAGCGATTCTCGTTCCAACTCTAGTACTGGAATACCGGAAAATTGCAATGATGTCATGGCCTCAGCCGTTTCGGCAGCTCAGGAGGAACTTAAGCAATCGAAACTGGATGAATTAAAACAGGATTTCCTTAAGGTATCAGAGCGACTTGGAGATTTGTTGGAGAAAACAACTCTTATCATGGAGAGAGATAATGAACAAGAGAGTAAACGGCAGCTGTGCTCACTTTCGCCGGAACAAAGCAACCCATCCATGTATAGCCCAGAGAATCCGTGTCTCCTGCTAGAAAATAAAGAGAATGGCAACAGTCCGAGCTATGATGAGTATACGAATGTGCAGCGACGGTATCCCAACTCTAGTGAAACTTCGAATCCCTCACAGAACTCGAACAGTTGGGAGTTTGAAACCACGCCTCCAGGCGGCCAAAAGTACTATCATTGTATTGGTAGAGGTGAAAACATGTTGAATACGGTTATTAAGGCACTCCGCAAGGATGGCGTTTTCACGGATAATAGCAAAGACGACGTGGCTTTCAACCAGAATGCGGACAGAATATGTGGAGACAAGTTACTTTATAAGGAGCAAGCCCACGACACTCCGTCACCGTCTTGTAGCACAGATGCTGTGTTTCATGCGCGACAGTCCCGCATAGGTTGCCCCAAATCTATATCCAATTTAATGAAACGACAACCACTATGTTTAGAGGACAACTACGTGGCAAACCCAACTCCATTTAATTCGAATCCCATCGGTTTTGCTGAAGGAGACATTGCAGATCACCCAAGCGGGCTACCTATAAGGCAAAGCTCCAATGATGCTGTTGGAAAGGTTGAAATTAAAAACAGTGAGATAAAGTACCTAAAGAAATCTAATACAGGCCAAGTCAAAGACATGGTAGCACATTTGCAGGATAAAATAGATTCGAGCAATCAGTTTGACAATGATGTGACCTTAAGCTCAGATTCACAGCATTCAAATATAATGACCCCGCATTTGAATAACAGCTTACACAGTATTTCCACCCATGTAGGCGCTCCTCAGCTTCCGTTGCAAAATCCTTCCTCTCTGTACTCAACCCACATGAGGAAACCCCGACAGTTCGGCGTAGCTGAAAGGCAAATACCCAAAGATGCATATTTTCACGATCTCCCGCATCGGTCACAAAATACGCAAAGAACACAAAAGATGTACTCCGGAGATATAGGAAATGCTATGTTTGCTGGGGGCTATACGGGACAGCAAGAGTTTGATGCACCCAGCTCATCTCTAACTCTCCATATTCAATCACATGATCATGAACCATTGCATCAAGAGTACATTGGCCAAGCTCCTAATGTGGCTGACAACAATCAGCTTCAATATCTGCATGGAAATCTGGTTCAAAATGTCAACTCTATTAGAGCGCATTCCATGATGTTCCGAAATCAGCTGCCGCATAATGTCTTAAACGGTGACGTCGATATTGACGTGGATGAAATCGCATCTGTCGGCTTATACAATAATGTTTCCAGCCTAGTTTGAGTTAAATTTAAGAAAGGACAATCAACTGTGCAGATTTTGTAGCTACCATTTTGTAAATAGTTGTCACAATGTATTTATCATAATTATTTATATGTATTTATATGTTATCCTCTTTATGTTGCACTATACCAGTTATTTGTCAAATCATATTCTGGACGATTGGCCGCAAAGTAGCAACATTAGCAGTTAAATTTCATAATTCGCAGCATTTGTTTGGCACTATTTGTCTGAAAATATACATGTGTATGCATGTATGTACTTATTCTGTATCTTCACTTAAGCGTACGACTATGAATAACTACGTATAGTGTTATTATTGAATTAAAATATATTTTCTTTAAAAATCTTTTAATATAATAATAGTATTAATGTGTGTGTAAATATCAGAATGTCAAGTACATATTTATTGATAACAGATCGTTTTGGTGTTTTGATAGACATGCGGCTTTCGACATTGTAAAAATAAATTAAAAAAAAAAAATGTTTATAAATTAACTATTGATGACAACTTTGATATCAATAACTACATATAATATGCTTGTTTGTTAATACATTTTAGCATTTTCTTAGAAATGGTTTTTCTCGATGTTTAATATTAAATTCAAAATTCTATAAATGATGTCGCAGAAAGTGTACTGATTGCTGCTGCTGCTGCCCTCTACTCACTTATACTTATCGGCCACTTAATAATATCTTAATTCTCAATAGTCAAATTACAAGTTACAGTAGCCAATAATTTATTCGCTTTTAATGTAGCCTAATATAAACCTATTAACATTATTACTTTTGCAATCTATTGGAAATTTTTATCTTGGCTTTAATGAAATGAGTGTCGATAGATAACCCGGCTTTCCTCAATTTAACTTAACAATATTGTTGGTCTTAAGACAGCAGGGATGAGTTGCGCTCGCTTGGGACTTTGCAAGTTACGAATATTTTAAGATCAGGTAATGTCTCAAAGGGGACTATTGTCCGAGTCTTCGCGCTCTTGGATTGTAGTTATACTTTGCTGCAAGGCATTCGGTGTTAGCCACTCTCTAAAATAGACAAATATCGCATATTTATATTGCATATATCTCTTTCAGCCAACTCACTTTGGTAGGCATCTTTGTAAAAATGGCACACAGGAGCTGAAATGTGCAAGACGGTTCACCCAACTAGGTATTTCTTGGCCGCAAAGTATCTGTTGAAGATGCCAATAATAAAAGCTGTTATTGCAACCACCATTTGAGGTTTTTGAGTCACGTATGCGCATACCTGTGTCAAGTTGCCCGAAAAGTGGTTACAATTATTGTTCATAAGGTGATAACGATCTCCGCGAAATTGATTCCCCAATTCCTCGACAAGGCGACGAACTTCCTCATAGGTAAAGTCGGTACAGCCGATTTGTATGCTCTGTCGGAATTGAAATTGTTCACCCAGCTCGTCGTGGTCGCGTGGTGATATTTCAAAAACGCCAGTAAACGGAAATGGATGGCCACCGTACGCAAATTCCGTGCCGAATGCTTCTACGCCGGAATGGAATACGCCCAGACCAATCGATGTGGTATACTCGTTAATCCAGTACTGCGAACAATACAAAATGGGTAAGCAAATATGTCAATCCAATAAATCCTTGTTGCTCCTTACCATGTCATATACGTTAAGAATAACTGGTTCTCTTGTGCCCATATTGGATGGCAAGAGCTCCTCATTACCATCTTTCGGGACACTTAGGCAGCTCGGAAAAGACAGGTTGCACGGCAGCCCGTTGGAGAACATTGATTAAATGCGTTGTTGGTTTTCTTTCTTACTACAACAAAAGATTGATTTGTATGAGACACAAACTTTCGATGAAAATGTCTATAAATAATTCTAAAAAAGTAATTCAATTCGGAGTTAAGCCTAAATCATTTCCACTTGCATATCCATATGTACATATGTATGTACGTTGTTCAAAAGTACATTTTTGTATGCACATATGTTCAAGTACATGCATACATATGTATACACGATATATATTCAATCATCTACATACACACATGTATACATGCATACAAGTATTAAAAATGTGTCATTCCAAACAACTTACTCGATTTACAGGACCCTAATATCCCATAATCCAGAGGAAGTTGACAATTTGTAATTGGCTAATGTTAAGAGCTGCGCATTTATTGTTTTATTTACTTCCGCGTCTGTTTTAATTTTATACACAACAATTTTTTTGTTTATGGATTGATTGTAGAGTTGTATCGGCCCAGTTTAGTACCGTTCATTGGTTCATTTTATCGAACTACTGAAATAGGTTCTTATTCGTTATTCAATCTATCGAGTTGATTGTCAATCGAATGTCGCGCAAGCTCTACTGAAACTTTTCAAATTTTAAAAACCCAAATAAACCGTTACTTCTTATATTTTAACATAAAGTTGATCTCAAATCTGAGAACAATTCATTTAATTGTGCAAGTCCGACCTTTGAAAATGTGTGATTGATTTTGTTTCCATAACAAATTTTAGAAAATTTTGTACAAATTATTTTTATATTTCATTTGAGCTAATCATATTCTTGCAGACACAATAATAGATTTATATTCAACAGCATTGGTCTCAAGCTGGAATTGCTTAGTTACACTTTAAAGTTTTATAATTAAGGTTGAATAAGTGGGTTTGCTCTAAGAGTGAAGACATCCATAATAGCTAAAGCAAAAACAAGAAAAAAAACAATACGGCTTTTATTATCATAGGGAGAGTAACTATACGAACAGCTGATATGGCAAAAGTAGCATATAAACATTTACGTAAATACATATGCATGTACGTATTAACCTGTAAGTGCTGCATTAGTGCGCATGACAGAGATTTTAATTCACAAACAACACGTGGCAAGCAGAGCTTTCGGCGTCACTGAGAGGGCAACAGAGGAAGCAAAAATAAAAACGAGCATTGCATGCCGGCTCTCCCAGTCGTGGCGGCGTCCACAGCCAACTTCTGGGTATATCCTCAGAGACACTCGCTCGCTCAGTTAATCTGTGGCAGTGGCAACAGCTAGCCACGCCGTGCTCTCAGTCTTGGTTGAGCGATGCGGAAGAGCGTTTAAGGTTGAGTCATCCGAAAGGACCCGACACAAAATGCAGCAAATATTAGTGTAGAGATAAAAAAATTGTTTTCTTGTGTAAAGTTCGAATAAAATCAACGCAAGGCATAAGAAAAATATAAATTATTTACAAGCCTGATAATTGTGTATCGTCGTCCATTTGATAAGTGCCAAACATTCAATTGGACTTTATTTCTTGTTAAAGTGCAGCATAAATTTAAGGCCAAATTAAGAAAATTGTCTTGGAAATGTAAAAGTTAAAATGGAAAGTTCGCCGTCCAGTTCCATAGAGAAGCAAATTGATCACTTTTTGGAGCATTTTAAGCGTAGTGCATCCAAGGCCATCGATACCGACTGGGTCAGCGGCTCCGATGGACAGTCCAATGGCAGTCCTCAACGACAGCAGCCCCTGCAACGTTTGCTGCAAAGAACCAAAAGCCGATCCAGCTGTCTAGACGTATCGGAACTGTCAGGTAAGTTTTTTCCCATAGGGCGGTAAAGCTAAGCTCTTGTTGAAAACATCATATATTCTGTCAAGCATCAAGGCTATTGCCTTACCCTTCCTTACTCCACTCACCAACCAACATATTGATTTTCCATTGGCATTTCCTACTTGATAAATGTCACGGCTAGGCTCTCTTTCCGTTCGTACGCCCGTGTATATATAGTGCAATGGGCTTATCAGCATACTATCAGGACTTTATCTTACTATTTTACCTTAATCTATCTACCTAAATATACCCATTCGACTTGAGCACGCGTTACCACACAAAGGGGTAAAAATATTAATATTAATGGGTATTAATTAATTTGAGGATTTATTTATTTATTAAAACAACTTGATTTCTGTCCGTATAATAATGCACAGCAATATCAGGCTAGTATTAGACTATAGATTAAGTGACCAGAGAATAGGCAGAACCAGAGAAAAGGCAGGCAGAAGTTTACGAATGATTTTGAAGTCGAAAGTTCACCCATCAAATCTTTGACCTTCGTTTCCCACAAGGAGGAATGGATTTCCCTAAAATTCACTTGAACGAAGATCTTTGAAAATGGGTTTGAGATCGATCGGATTGAAATCGATCGGATTTCCCAAACGTTCAGTAAATTTCAGCTTCCTAGCTCTTACCAATCAGTCAGTCAGTCAGAACATACAGTCTTATATATAGAGAATATATATTGGGCTGTAAGGAAACGGAATACCGTCTTGTCTGTTTGCTGGTGCATATTGTATACGTTTCTCTCATTAAGCTGCACTTAAATGGCCGCTCTTATGAAATACATAGTTATGTATGTATGTATGTGTATGTACACATAAATGCCACTAAGTGTTACACCCTCATAACAATTGGCGCACCGCTGCAAGAGGGTTTCAATTTTATTTAGGGTAGACGACGCTTATTGCTAATCTCTGGTAACCGCGATTCTCATTTGTTTTTGCCTGTTGCTTTATTACAAACCCACGCTCGCAGATACGTAAATAGTTAGCATGGGCGAATGTGGCCTTGGTTCTTAGTTGTTTTTTCAGCATGATAAATTTAGTTTCAAAGTGTCATAGAAGCTTGTATTAAGAAAAATGCAAAGTGTACATCATTATTCGTTTTTCGTTTTTAAATATATCAACAGTTAAAAATGATGGATCGTTAAGTGATTAATCACTTTTTCGATGACTCTTTTATGTTGTTCTTTTGCACTAGCTTGCCGATCCGTAGTTTTCCCTTCGCAAACTTCTTTGGCTGACTGTATCCTCAAAAAAAGAAATGAGCATTATAAAATGAAATGCTTATTAGCTTAAAACTGACCAAAGTAATATATTAATAATATATTTCATATTTAAGAAAGTCCATTCTGCAATTAACATGCAACAGCTGTGTTGATTTTTTGTTATTTATGGTCTTATCGATATTTCTCTAACTAGTCATGTTAGATTGGAACTACTAGATCGCTGTTAAAAATTTGAATCCAAGCTGCCGTTTTTCTTAAAAGTTCTCATGGATTTGAATCTTCTCATTTAGCTATTGCTGTTGTTGCTTCGAATCGTTTGCAGTAAGTAATCTGTTAATTCTCTATGTTTAGTTCAGGAATCAATGTGTTCTTACCCACTGTTATTAACATAGCTATGTTAATGTTATTCCCGCTGTTATGTTATTAATATGAGTTTGGCTCTTCTTCTTCCCTGCTGCGTAAAAATAAACCCGGTGCAC